GTGAAGGAAAAAGTACTAACTGCAGTGCTTCCATTTAAAGGGGAGTCATTCCTTCCTACTGCTGCCTTGTGCTTGCACGAGCTTGCAGTTGTTTTGACTTTTTTTAGATCATTTTGTACCAATAAAACCTGAGCTGGATTGCATAATATTAAAACTGAATCAGATTTTAAAAGTATACACTCAAATACATATTGTCTATGGTTGGTCTAATGTGATTAATAAGGCCCTATATTAATATGTGTTGTTGATTGGCCCAGACTGAAATCAACTGAAAGGTACTCAGTTATAGGTGTGAGGAATGCCCACAGAGAAGTAGGGGAAGTGACTTCAGGAAGTGACATCAGCCTTTTTCTTTGCTTGGCTAAATCGGCCTTTGAACCCTACGGCACACAAATTAAAATGGGTGACTGTAAATGTGATCTAGGTTGGGCACAACCTGATAAGAATGTATAATGTGGGACAGTTATTATACAAGGGCTGATAAGAAGGAAACATGGCAGTGATAGATTCAATGCTCAGTATATGCTCTCCCACACGAATCAGTCTTAAACATGACTTAAAGATTAACTAATTACATATAACATTAAAAATAAAACCTTAGAATGTTATTAATGTTATTTGGGGATCTAACATCATAGAGACTTTGTTTGAGTTTTGTTGATGATCATGTAATAACTCTGAGGTTTCCCTTCAGTCCAATATTTATTCACTTTCATCATACAGCCACAGGAAAACGCCCTCTTTCAAGGTAAAGAGTCATAAAACAGACCTTTTTTTATTACTTTAATCTTTTAATAAAGTCAACTTTTGCTTATTATTTGGTTTTATTTTGGGAAGCTTTGAGATGCTGCTATTCATGTATCCTTAATTTACTATTTGACACGGCCCCCATGAAACCGCAAGGAAATCTCAAGGTTTGCTTTTCTGGAGCATGCAGAATGTGTGTCAACCCAATGCTGAGGTGGTTAAATATGCTGGTAAAGTAATTTTTCCCACCCATCAATCTGGGAAGAGTTTTAAAACCATTTCCACCTCTTTAAAGATCAATGGCAAGAGGTTTATTTTCCTAATAGGAGAAAGAAAATGCTTTTTGGGAAGGGATATTCACCCCAAAGTCTAACCCTGAAATTGTTCATATGATTAATAAAAGGAAAAAAAAAATAATAATAATCAGGTTCTCATGCAAGACTACACGCCTTGGTTGGCATGTGGAACGATTAAGAGTCACAGTCATAAGAATAAACATGTTGGCATCATTTGCAAGGGTAAAGGAGAAACTATCAAAGGAGAATATAAGAGGGACAATTTAAATTTAGCAGTTTTTGTGTATAATAAGACGTTTGGAACAATTTACTTATTATTTACTCCTTATTTGCAGTTGTTGGAAAAAAAGCACCATGAGGTCATTAATTTTAATATAAACTGCTCTTGGTTGTTAAGTACTGTACAGTTTAATAAAGACCACCTCCACAGACTTGACATTGGGATTTAAGAAGTTACTGCTGAGCCTGGTTCTGCTGGAAAAGGGAGTTTTTCTTCTCCACTGTCGCTACAAGCATGCTTAGTGGAGGGATTGCATTTGAGTCAATGCAATAAACAGGTTTTCCTTAGATAGAAAACTTTGAATCAATTTGACTGTATGATCTGGTGAACTGGAAAGTGCCTTGAGATGACATGTGTTGTAAATTGGCGCTATAGAAATAAACTGAATTGAATTGAACTGCTAAGAGACATTTGCTACTAGAAGCTTCACAGGCTAACGAACTACAGTATGGGATCAAGTAAGTTTTTAGCATATAGCTTTTTTATTCTGGGTTTATTTATTTTCAGTTATGTAAGGAGGTAATCTCTTGTGAGCTTTTCTATTCTTAATCGTGATAATTAATTATCATTTATTGATCAGATCATTCAGTTGAACTCTGTTACCTAAAACAGTGAAATTAAAGGGAAGGCACCTTTGTATTATTTTTACTTCACCTTTAAACTGTATCTGGTCTTTTGGCTAATGTGGACATATGGAGCTCTTGATCAACAATTAAGAGCTGATCTTGTAAGAAGAAAGAATATATAAAATATATCAACTAATGCAAATGATGTAGCTACACTCGATGTGCTATTCTTAGCTGTTTCTGAAGAATTTCAAAAAATCTAAATTAAAAATAATATCGGTCAAATATTAGCCAAAACATGTTATTGGATTATATTGGGCTACATCCTAAAATTTCCAGTATTGTCATGCCGATAGAAAAACTTTTGTTTAAAGTTTCTATAACCAATTGGTGAATATTACATTGGTCAGTTGTTCTAATACCTTTTTTTGTTATCTCTGTTCCCTGTTTTAGTGATATCACTTGATCAGGGCTTTTCTAACATTCTAAAGTACAAAATAAGTAATAAAAGCATTTAATATTTGTGCTAATATCCTATTGGATCCATATCCTCCCAATACAATGTTATCCGGTCACTTTCAAACCTGTAATATCAGAGGTGCATCGTAAATGAAAAAGTTGTATCAGGATACCCCTGGAATTCACACACTACTGGGTACAGCGAACACATGCAACAGTTTATCTGGCCTTTGTAAAAGATCTAGACTTTTGTGCTGTAACATCAGGAATTAAATGATTTGACAAAAAAATATGACAAAAACATATTAAAAAGAAAATGAATAACATTTCCTTCAGAAAAGTTGGGTTAGGTTAAGGCATCTGTGGCAAATACAGAAACAACTATTGAATTTTTCACATTCTGTGTTCTATGATTTCACTGTGAAAGAAAGGCATACTGACACATATTTCTTATTAGATTATTTATATGCATCAACAGTTTTTCATAGAGCCAGGCAAACAGTAGAAGTACGGGTGAACTATCAGGTATGGAGCGATCAGGATATTAACCACCAAGCAGCATAATTAGACCCAGAAACCTGCAGCAACACTTGTATCAGTTTGAAATAGCTTTTTATGTATCATGTGCAAGCACATGCTGATATATCTACTATGCCCAAACTGGTTTGCTCTGATACAAAATAAGTTTTGAAGTGATTAAAACTTTTTTCAGAACTTTTTCAGTTGTGTTAACTTTCTAAAACGGCATAAATTTCATCATAGCAAAACTAGAGAAAGTAAGATTAGAAAACTGTCATAGATAATCACTAAAGTGAGGAAAAGGACGCAACAGAGCACTGTGCAACAAGCTTGTCTGGTGTGCCTCTATGGCACTGCCTGGACGTCTGTAGACAAGATGCAGCGGCAGCGCAGACCATGGGAGTGACGCATTGCAGGTACAAACCGACCAATCAGAGAGCGCGATTTCTTTCCGCTACGTTTGTGCCTAGCCACTCAGTAGCAGAAAGTATTCCTACGCAAATATTTAGTCCATCAGCTAAACGTAGAGAGACGTTTTGTTACGACGTTAATACAACCACAGAAATTTTATTTTTGTTAGTATTGTGTGTTTTTATTCTCCTTCATAAAGGCTATGTGGTGAAGTGCTATTTTCTAATAACCGGACATATAGGAATTTGGCGGAGGGATTTCTGGAGAAGGAGGAGTTTAAGACACCCCTTAAATGCGAGCCCAGTCGTCTCCCTCTCAGTGTGCTCATAGTGGTTCTTGTTTCTCACTCTGGTTGTTAGTGGTGATTTTTGGATATTTTTTCCCCCCCAAACGGAGTTTGTGGTGAACTAGCAGTTGATCCCACGCTGAGATGGTAAGAGCATTGACTTGACATGTAATCTTTTATCCAGCTTTTGAATACGACACTAATAAAACCAGAGAACGACCGTAGCAGCTTAAACATAACGCTATTTCTGTATTTTATGTTTCACTTTTCATTGCTAACTGTCTTGCACGCGTGCTTTCCATTAAAACGATAACTATACATAAATGTTATGTATAGTTAATGTTACGAGCCGATGGGAATAACGTATGATTGTAATGGGAGTGTTTCGGCATCATGGGCGTTGTTTGCCTCTCAGTGCTGCTGAAGCTTAAAAGCAGCACTGGTGACAGGGAAACGTTCCGTATTTCACTTATAAGTAAATCGAAAATGTATATATTATCTGTCTTTTTACTTATGAATGGGTTCACTGGCATGAAGGAAGTTTTTCGTCGTGCTAAAAGTGATGTGAGGCTAAGCCGGCATATAATGGTTGCTAGCCAGCTACAGCTCTTCCTAGCTAGCTTTTACCGCCAAATAATTATCCATTAATTGTGTGGCGTCATTCAATCATTAAAGCAGCTCCAGCATCGGGGGTAATGTGCTGAACAACGTTTCCTATTAGTGTCGCTTCCTATTATCTAAAAAGGATGTAAACGCAACTGCTTCCCCTTTGGGTCGTTTTCTTTTTTGCGATCTGCGTCCACTTTCTTTAGCTCTTCTTTCATTTGCATCGTTATGAGTAAAACAAAGTATTAACCTTATTCAGGCTCAGATGCAATTGGCTTTTTAACTTGTGGGAACTATAAAACCTGCAGCATATTCAACACTTAAAGGAAGTACTGTCTCATTTGGTTTTAATGAATTCTGTGGGCTATGTTTCAGTCCCATTTCATGTTTTTCCCTGCAATTTAATTTATCTGATCTATCTGAATTAGCTGAAATGCACCCAAAACATATTTTAAACCTCAAATCTAATGATTACTTTAAAACATTTTTTTAACCTTTTTTTTTTGTCAGGTATACATATATAGTTGGCATTTAATGCCTCACACATGGACTCTTCCCACCCCACACTTTTAAGTGTTTTTTTTCCAAATCTAAATTGTTTTGTTTCCTTTCTGTAAAATATTTTTTGTCCAAAATTTGTATCTTCAATGTAAACTGCTTTGCAATCCAATTAACCATTTTCAGTTTTACCTGGATGTTTAAATTGATTTCTATAGCTTTTTTTTCTCTATATAGAACATACAGGAATTTTAAAATTTGATAAAATGTTTCACAAATCAAAGTACTTGGTATTCTGAAAGTGTGAAAAATCTAAAGGTTTTATGATTCATCTAGCTGGCATTCTAATGATGTGTTTTTTTTTTTGTTTTTTTTTTCAGGCTGACCAACTAACAGAAGAGCAAATTGCTGGTAAGATATGGCTGCATTGATCTTCCTCCTCATAACTTGCTTCTGTGGCTTCCATTAAGGACTAATCTGGTGCAGTGGATTTATACTTTTGCCTTTTAAGGCATTGCACAGGGCAGCCTGCTGGTCATAAAACTGGAATGAAAGAAACCGCTGTTGCTTGCTGTCTGTGGATTGCTGAAGGACTCCCTCACTAAAAACTTTGCATTTTCATGGCTGCTGAATTATGTGATGTAATCTGGAGGAGCCCTGCTCTCCTGGTGTGTTGGCACTCATCACTTTACATGCTGGGTCCTTTACACTGGGCCTATGGAACACTATAATGCACTGTGGTAGCAGTTAGGGTTTACTGCATATGAATTGCTGAGCTGGGACTTGGATGTCTTAAATTCTTACTACAGGTGCCAACTCCTTGCTTTCAAGCATGGTTATGATCTAAAGTAATCTGGCTGTAACAGCTGTTTTCCTCATGGATGGCTTGTGTAAAGCTTTATGGAGCAGTATATTTGCATGGCCTAAAAAGCTGGGTTATTAGCATTGTTGTAACCAGTTGCTAAAGCGATTCTCATTGTTTGGAGTCAAAGCATCCATTTATTGCAGGACACCTTTACTTGATGTTTGTTGTTTTACTCCAGCCATCTGCAGCATGCCACCTTTATTACCCATTGGCCTCATCTATAAGCATGCCATTGTTTCTGGTCCCTCATGGCTCAGTGCTGTCAGTCACTTTGATGGCCTGTCTGTATCCTGATGTTTGAGCTCATGGAAGCTGTTTAACCAGAAACTCATCCACTGGGAATATAAATAGAGGTGCACCTGTGTGCTGTTTTGATGACAGTCCTTGAGTTTTAGCTGGGTGTAGTCTCTAAGAACTCGAATCAAATTGAGCTGATATATTGTTGCATCTAATGGGTTGATTATTTTATTTTTATATATTTTTTCCTTTTCTGTCTTTAGAGTTCAAGGAGGCCTTTTCGCTCTTTGATAAGGATGGAGATGGCACCATCACCACTAAAGAGCTGGGCACAGTGATGCGCTCTCTGGGCCAGAACCCTACAGAGGCAGAGCTGCAGGACATGATCAACGAAGTGGATGCCGATGGTGAGAATTGGTCTTTAAACACTCCTGCTGTTCCCAAATGTTCCTGATCTAGATCTAACACTTGCTTGGGCTTTTATTAGGAAATGGAACGATAGACTTCCCTGAGTTTCTAACCATGATGGCCAGAAAGATGAAGGACACAGACAGCGAGGAGGAGATCAGAGAAGCATTCCGTGTCTTTGACAAGGTAAGCACTTAAAAGGGTAGTTATAGTATAGATTTTTAAAACAAGCACTCAGTAACTGACCCAATTTTTAGGATGGAAATGGATACATCAGTGCTGCTGAGCTGCGCCATGTGATGACGAACCTTGGAGAGAAACTAACTGATGAGGAAGTGGATGAGATGATCAGAGAAGCAGATATTGATGGAGATGGACAAGTCAACTATGAAGGTTTGTAGTTAGAAATAATCCTGGCTTTTAGTGTATATAGATTTTATTTTTTTTTTTTTTCCTCTAAAAAACGTGTTCTTAACTTTAACTTGAATTTTTCATTCTCTCTGCAGAGTTCGTACAAATGATGACGGCGAAGTGATGGCCTTGTACAGATTTCTATATAAATTTGCCTTTTTTCTTTGTGTAATTTATCTGTAAAATCTTAATAGCCCCCCATTCGTCCCTGCCCCCTCTGCTGTCCAAAGGAACTGCATGTAAACTGCATAAGCTCATGTCCCCATGTCCCTTTCTTTTGCTGTCATGGTGTTTTGGAGTGACGGAATGGCCATACAACCAGGAGCCCGTGGAGGCCTCTGGGAGCCGGAGATCTTCGGCCCCTCCTTACCTGGCAACGTAGGAGACCTATCACCTGGTTGTCACTTGGCAACACTGTTGGCATGGAAGCAATGTAGCGGAGTTAAAACTCTGCATGGACTATGGACAAAGTACATGAAATCTCTCAGCATTGCACTACTGCAAAATTATGACACGGGTGTATCTCCTTGGTACTCGTACAAACTCTTTTGTATCTGCTGTTCTTTATTGGAAAATGACTAATCTTAACATGCTTTTTAATGTTTTACTCACTACTTTTACTTTCCTCTTTTCTTTCTTTCTTTTTTTTTCTTTTTGTATGACCTCTGGTCATGCCTAAAACAATCCATTCCAAGTTGTATATTTTGTTTTCCAATAAAATTTACAATCTACCCATATTTGAAACCTGTCTTGTTTTCACGGTTTAAAATGAAATTTGTTTACCCTGTAACGGCTGTTTTTGTACGAGGACGGAACACTGCAGTTTTCTTAAAATGTTTACGGAAAGTCTCTCCTGCTAAACTTAAAAAAAAAAAAAAAGGCACTTAGGAGCATCAGCCAATGCCTCTTAATGTATTGAGCTCAAATAATTTGTTTAGAAATGTAGGAGCAGAGTGTAGACTTGGTGCAAACTGCTGTGGTCAGCCTTGCACTGTCCCTGCTCAGTTTCTCATGGGCCATGTGTTGTGTCCTGGAGTTAGCATGGTTCTGTGTAAAAAGCTTGACTGCCTCATGTCCGATTTGACATTTGCCCCCAATTAATGAGGTGTGGGTGCACATCAGACATCGGTGTAAATAGAGGTGTACCTGTTGGCTTTTTTTTTTTTTTTTTCTCCTGAGTTTGTTACAGTAGCTTGCAGAGAAAGTTGTTTGAAATAAAGCTCTATTGTAGACTTCCTCTGTCTGGTTTGGTTTCTCAACTATGGATTTTACATGTGGAATCTCCTGTCTTAAAGCCAAAAATGAGGTTGAATGTTTTCCCTCAGAATTTAATTTTACCTCTGGACATTTAGATTTTCTTTGAATTTCCTAGATTTGCTTTCTTAAAGCTGCATAATTTGTCAATTGTTCAAAATCAGACTTGTATGGTGTACATTTTAGAATCGGGTCTGTTCTTAAAGTCTTTATCAGTTTACACTACCAGTATCCCTTCATTTCCCATAATCAATTGTGGGTCAAGTATGAACAATGGTGGCTAAATTCGTCGGACACAATAAGTGTTTAGGCAAGAACGTACCATTAAGCTGCTGTGACAAATTTGCCTGTAACGATTGGGGTCACTGCTAATTTCAAAGATTAATACTTCCTGGTTATGCCATCAATCCTGCAGTAAAACTCCCTGCATCATGCTGTCTCCTCCGTACTTCACAGCTGATCTGGTGTTCGCTGGTTTGCAAGCTTTTTCTCCAGCCTACTTCACCTTTTGTTTTATCTGATCATAAACTTCTCAAAAAGTCCAGATCTGCTAATGTGTGAATATTGCGTCTGGTTTAACATTTCTCAAGTCTTTTACACAATGAAATGCTTGACACCTGAATGTTGGTCTTCCATTGTGCCTTAGTCAAAGTTAAAACAGTCAAGGGGTTTAAATTTAGCCCCTCACCAGGAAAAATTAATCAATGCCTGAACTGCTGCTATAGTGACACTCATGGTTATGTGGTAGCAGCTGATTAGTGAAGGGTCTGAGCATGGTGCGGTGATGTCTGATATTGTTTATTCCAGGGCAGTCATGCTTTTGTTTGCCATTCTAACCTGGAGGGTGAGATGGTACATCCCATGTCAGGGAACTTGGAAAGTTAGTGTGTTAATTGAAATCTTAGATTCACCATCCTATTCTTTAGTTAACATTCAGATTGGTTGACCTTTTTTAAAGATAGTGGAGGATTTTAGACAATTTTTAAAAAGACCCGCCCTCTCCACTTTAGAAAAAAAATGCACATGCACAACCCTCTACCCACTCCCCAGAGGGAATGCCTATTAAACTCGTGCGAGAGCATGCACTAGCTAATTTCTTCCTGTGCACGCTCTGTTTGCATTGCTCATGCAAGCTTACTTTCCAAAAGAAGATTTGTTATTTTTCCTCTATGTCAGACTAACCACCGGTAAGTGAAAATCTGTAAGCAAACCTGACGTATGACAGCCTGACCTAAACATATCACCAGAATGATTGACAATTAGGAGGACCATTTATTTAGATGATTCACCTGGAAAAGGAACATTCTCTCATATATATTTTTAACATCAAGTTTCAGATCAGGATGTTAAAAGAAACTCAGTTCTCTGGTTATCATATGTTTATTTACTATGTTTAAATCAGGTTATTTTCCATCAAAATGTCCACTGTGAGGCATTTGTGGCATTTATGCAGCAACACATTCCCTCTTAAAGATGTGCCTCTTTTCTTGTCTCCCAGCATCAGCGGCCCCCGTTCCCAAGGACTGAGTTGTTTATGACGTCTTCTGCTACGTGAAAGTATTAAAGCGCATCCTTGTTAGTTTAGAACAGGGCAGATCAGATGTGGGTGATGTCTGTCTTTTCTCAGTTTTGCAAGAATTTTAGAATTAAAGTGCCGCTATGATTATCTCTCTTGTTTATTCAATAAACTCACTCGGGTGCAAAATTGTATTTTTCAATCCGCAGGGGGCATACTTCAGTAGTCCCCCATACCAAAACCACTTGGAGTGTTTGCTTCATCAACATAGTTGGTCTCAGTAATTGGCAAGTACGGTGGAAGGTTTGTGGTGATGTGGGCTTAATTCTGTTCTGAGGTTTTATGAACTTTTTACAGAAAAACAAAACAAAGAAAAACCTTTAAGTTCCCTCTGGTCATTTAAATATCACAAGCTGGGGCATTAATAACCTAAAAAGCCTGTAATTAAAACAAAAATCAGTGTCAAATATTCTTTTCAAAGCAATAATAGCAGAGCAAGTCACCAAGTCAGTGATCCTATTCTTAGCTGAACAAACCCATTAAAATTTCACTTATACATTTAATTCTCTAACTCTTACAGTTACAAATGATTTTGGAGTTTATGCTTGTAAATCTGCTGCTGGCTTGCAGCGCAAAGCATATGTTATGGCTACAAAGCTCCCTTAGGCTGTAAAGTCGACTTGACCCTATGCAAGACAGCTGATTCAAGCCTGCGGCTGCTTCAAGTGACGTGACAACATGGACTCCTGTATAATTCATAAATAGCTGCACTGAAATTCACTGGGGCCTAACGTGCTTTTTTTAGATTAAATAATTCCGCTTTTTGGCAGGAAGCTTCAGTTTGGACGTTTTGGAAACATAACTAGAGCAGGGATGATATTTGAAAAAAAAAAAAAACGCTGACTGTGACCAAAGTTTACCAGGGTTACAAGGTCATAACTCATAGAGAGAAGAATGCAACAAATTCATCACCCTCTTTCTACAGTACAATAGGGGATGTGAAATGCTGTGGGCGTTTTTTTCTCTACGAAAAGCTCTGGAACCTTGTTTCAGTAAATGGTATCGTGGACTCAAATAAGAACATATAGAAAAGAAGCGATCAATGCCAGAAAACAAAAAAATCAAACCAAAATGGTTGATCATAAACATAATAAGCCATTCAGTCAAACTGATAATAAAAAATAAGTAAACAAATAAAATAAAAATCAAATAAATGTATTTGCCCTTAATTTGAGCAGATAAATGGGACGATCTCTAACATAATTAGCTTTTTTTTCCCTTTTTAGAATAGATAATTAGATATTATGTCCTTGAACTAAGCTAATGGGGTGGGTTTTTCCTTTTTAAAATGTAAATCCTCTTATTCCATTGGCAAATCGTCTTCTTATCTGTTCAAATCAAGGGAAAATAAACCTTTTCCAAGAAAATCAAATGACTTATTTTGCAATCTTTGCAGCGGTAGAACAAATCATTTGGGAAAACCTTTGAGGTGAGTTGAATATAAGAAAACTGAGCAGAGGGAACATCCAGAGAGGTTCTTAGCTCTATGCTTTTGTAGTAGTCCTGCAACTTTCTCCTTTTTATTGTAGAATCTCATTTTAATTATTGAGGTGAATATAAAGTCTTTAAATGCAAAGCGGCAGTCTCAGTAAAAACGCAGGACGTTCTGGAAACAGAAGCCTGGTGATGTAATGCAGCGGCCAAAACAAACAGAGCAGCAGATAAAATAACACATGCTGAAGCTGTCATATATATTGAAACACTTGTTTATCTTTATTCCTTGTGGCAGCACATCAACACTTCGCCGTGTGACTGCAGTGTGACAGCAAAAGCAGTGAGGAAGGCAACTGCATTCTCTCTTTAACTCAGGGGCAGAGCTAGACATACTCATTACCAGGGACTAAGTCCACAAAATATTTCAATATAATGAAGGAGATTTGGTAGACCAGAAAAGTAAGACGTTATCCCTGCATTCAACCTCTTTGTTAAGACTTATTACACATTTAATCATTGTTAACTCCTCATTGCTAGAGTAATAATTGATGGTCTGAAAGGATGCAAGTAAGAAGTAGGCCAGAGTCTGAATGTCTTATGCAGAACAATACCGTATTTGCAGGAACATGAAAAGCAAGACACGTGAAGACCTATTGAACTACAATTTCTAATCCGCTTCTTGTTCCATCTCTCTCTCCTCATTCTGGCATGTTCCTCTATCTCTGCTGTCCCTCCATGTTTGTGCTGCATTCATACATAAACCAGAGCAAACTACCATTATCCAATGTTATACAACATATGATAAAGTAAAGCTGTTCTTCTCTCACCTGAACTGTTTTCTGCGTTTTGGATCTGATGTCCATTATGAAAGATATTTATTAGGCTTAGCCCATCACTGTGGTCTTTACATAAACCAATGCTAATCTAGTCAAACTCAGCGGCACCATATTACCACATTCTATTAGGGATGTAAATCACAGCCATCACTGCGATTCGATTCAGTATCAGTTTCCTGACCCAACGATTCGGTTATTTTCGATACGCACAAATCCGCCATGTGTGGTTTGTCTACTGTTTACGCGAGTGTGTGTGTGCAAGCGGGAATAGGGAAGTGGCTAAAGGAAGTGAGGTAGGAGGGCAAAATAGGTTTAGCGCCACTGCAGAACGGGACTCAAAATTACATCCAGGAGCAAATGGATCAAAATAGAAAAAAACAAACACGAATCAATACTCTTGCGGACGTGTCGATGCATCCTATCGTCGGCTGTTGGATTGATGCATCAATGCAAAATGATTATTATTTATACCCCTAAATTCTATCACTGGAAACGTTGATTCTTCGTGTTGAATTCAACATATTAACCAATTAGCAAGGATTACAAATAAAGTAATAAAGTGTGTGGGGCTGTGACAGCTGTGTTTCCACTGTGTAGTTCACCATTACTAACCAGATTAACCTTAGATTGTTTGACA